AAAAAAAAAAAAAAAAAAATTTGCACCAAATTTTTCATTGCAGATCAATTCATAATTGCCAAGTCATGGAAGAAGCCAAAGTGCCCCTTGACCCATGAATGGATTAATAAATTGTGGTATATGTATACCATGGAATACTATACAGCATTAAAAAATGGAGACTTTACCTCTTTTATGTTTACATGAATGGAGCTGGAAAATATTCTTCTTAGGAAATTATCTCAGGAATGGAAAAAAATATCCAATGTACTCAGTACTACTGTGAAAACAATTTATAATCACTCACACTTACATATGAAAGATGAAACACAGCTATAGCCTAGGATGAATGAGGGAAGGGGAGAGAGAGGGGAAGGGAGGGGTAGGTTGATAGAGGGAGGGTCAGTAAGGGGACCACACCTGTGGAGCATATTGCAGGTACAAGTTGGATCTATCAGGTGTAGAACACAAATGTCTTAATGCTGGAATAGGGTAAATGAGGTGAAGGCTATGTTGATTAGCAGGATGTAAGCACTGCAATTTGTACAAGTAATCAACACATTGAATTCCATAATGGCATAAATGTATTTATGATCAATGTACAAATGACTTAATTAAAAAAAAGCATTATCCCTATTATTAGGAATAATGTAATAACCACCTCATTCTTAGCATGTATTACAATCATTACATATACATGAATACACATGCAGAAATACAGACATTGCATGGTGACTAAGCAATTTTGGAATAAATCCAGACTTCAGTCACAGACACAATCATTTATGTCTTAACTGTGCATTTATACCTGAATGAATTTTCATTAAGCATACTAGTAATTCAAACGATGTAATACAAAGTCTGATTGCATTATTTTGTTATTTTGGAATTACATGTGAGAAAATAGAAGCTAACTGCTTCACCTATTTTAACACTACTAATTTTCTGAATCACATTGTAAGAGTACATGTCTAGAAATTTAAAAGATCATAAATTTCCTAGGAGGAGACATTATTTAGTCTGTCATTGGCATATATTTGCAAAACATTTTAACACTGCAAACATTCAAAGTTTGAAGATTGGGCACAGGAAAAGGTTTACACTCCCCTACAATGATGCTGGTGTACTTCTACCAAGGCTTCTTAGTGACATCAATCAATTGGAGGTAGAAGTTGATCAGTGAATTGCCTGACATCCATCATTTCCTGCTGACACAAACTGCGCATCATGCCTTCATAGGTCTTAAAGGTTACATTGGCTGGATTTACCAATGTTTTTAGTTTTTCAGCAGTAAGAGAACCAAACCTCAGGGGAACCAGAGGGTCGCAATCTTCATGACACTGAAGACTAGAAATATCTGTGTTAGCGCCACTGATAGGACCCTGAAATGAAGCCCGAAGTGGAAGCAAGCAACTGAGTGCAGTGACACCTGCCAGCTTCTGCTGGGTGGTGAGAGCAGCGTAGAAAGATAAAGCTCCACCCGGGGAAAATCCTCCCAAAATAATTCTGTTAGAAGGAATGCCATTCTTCACCTCCTGATCTATCAAAGCCTTTATACTTTCTGCTATATGTTTAATTCCAGGTTCATCTTCCTGTGACCTTGGTGACAGCCCAATAATAACAAACCAAGAAAGCACAGCCATGTTCATATTCAATGTCACAGGCATAACTGGCGCCTGCAGGCAGATATATTTCATATGTGAGCTTCTGATACCGCCAAAGGCTTCTGCCCATCCATGCCCAGTATCCCCCAATCCATGAAGGAAAATCACCACAGCAGTGGCCTTCTGGGCAGCAGGCACAATGACAGGTAGCAGAACAGACACGATATTGCCGCACATACGTCGGCCCGGCTGACAGCACTAATGGAAGCCAATGGCTTTTTTCTTTAACTAAAGATAAAGTAATTATTAAAAGGAAGGCATCTTGATCTCATTCAGAACATCAAGGGTGATGTGACAACAGCTCTATGGCCATTACAGAAAAAGATTTCAAAAACTGCATTGAATGGTGGACTAGATGCTGGCATTGGTGCAGAGCTTCCCAAAAGGAGTGCTTTGAAAGTAACCTAGTGGGGGCGGAGCCTGTGGCTCAGTGAGTGGGGCACTGGTCCCATATACCAAGGGTGGCAGGTTCAAACCTGGCCCTGGCCAAACTGCAACAAAAAAATAGTCGGGCGTTGTGGCGGGCGCCTGTAGTCCCAGCTACTTGGGAGGCTGAGGCAAGAGAATTGCCTAAGCCCAGGAGTTGGAGGTTGCTGTGAGCAGTGTGATGCCACAGCACTCTACTGAGGAATAAAGTGAGACTCCATCTCTAAAAAAAAAAAAAAAAAAAAAAAGTAACCTAGTGATTTTAAGCAATGAGCTATGTAGAACTTTCTTCAGGATGAGTTCACAAACTTTTTTTTAATATATTAAGGTAAGGGTATATACAATTAGGTTGCATTGTTTGTGTTTGTAAGGTAAAGTCCCAGTTGTAGTTGAGTCCTTCACCAAGGAGTGGGCCATATACCCCTACATTGTACCCTACACATGGGAGCTTACTAATGCCCCACCTCTCTTCCCGAATTTGATTGTGTTTTCTCTCATACAGGCCTTTATTTGTTGATATATTAGTTTCAAATTAGTATAGAGTACATGGGATGATTACTTTTCCATTTATGAGATACCTTACTATGGAGAATATTCTTCAACTCCATCCAGAAGAATATAAAGGATATAAAGTTTCCATCTTTTTAATGGTTGAATAATATTCCACGGTGTATATAGAGATATATATACACCACAGTTTGTTAATTCATTCACAAGTTGATGGGCAATGGTGCAGTTTCCACATCTTTGCAATTGTAAATTGAGCTACTATAAACATTTGAGTGCAAATGTCTTTAGGGAAAAATAATTTTTTTTCCTTCTGGGTAGATACCTACTAATGGGAGTGCAGGATCATATGGGAGGTCTACTTTTATAACTTTGAAGATTCTTCATGCTTCTTTCCCAAAAATCTGTATGAGTTTGCAATCCCACCCAACAGTGTATAAATGCACTCTTCTCTCCACACTAACACTAGCATCTGCAGGTTGGAAATTTTGCAATATGGGCTATTCTCACTGTGGTTAGGTGATATCTCAATGTGGTTTTGATTTGAATTTCTCTGATGATTAGGGACAATGAGCATTTTCATGCATTTGTTAGTTATTTGACTGTCTTCTTGGGAGAAGGTACTATTCATGTCTCTTGCCTAACGATTAAAGGCATTGTTGGCTTTTGACATTGCTGTTCTTTTGCTTGAGTTCCTTGTAGATTCTGGTTATTAGCCCTTTGTCAGATTTCTGACATGCAAATCTCTTCTCCCATCCTGAAGGTTGTCTATTTGCTTTATTTATTGTCTGTAACCATGAAAAAGCTTTTAAGCCTGATCAGGTCTTATTTACTTTTTTGTTGTCGTTGCTCTAATTGCTAAAAGGGTCTTCTTCATAAAAATCTTTTCCCAAGCCAATATCATGAAGAGTTTTTTCTACACTTTCGTCTTGAGTTTTTACCATTTCCTGTCTTAGATTTAAATCTCTTATCCAGCATGATTCATTTTATGTAAGTGATGAGAGATGTGGGTCTAACTTCAGTCTTTTTTATGTATCTAATCAGTTCTCCCAGAACCATTTATTAAATAGGTAATATTTAATAATCTTTCCCCAGTGTATGCTTTGGTTTGCTTTACTGAAGATCAGATAGTGATATCAGGCTGGTTTCAGCTCTGAAGTCCTCAGTTCTGTTTCACAGGTCTCTGTCTCTAATTGTATGCCAATATCATGCTGTTTACATCACTATATACTTGTAGTATAACCTGAAGTCTGGTAATGTGATGCCTATAGATTTCTTTTTATTTCTTAGAGTTGCATTAGCTATTCAATGTTTTTTCTGCTTCTGTTCCAAATGAACTAGTGTTTTAAATATTTCAAAGTATGAGGTTGGTGTTTTAATAGGTATTAGGTTAAGTCTATAGATTGCTTTGGGTAGTTCAGACACCTTAACAATGTTGACTCTTCCCAGAAATGAGCATGGTGTGTTCTTCCATTTATTAGCATCTTCTGCTAATTCTTTTCTCAGGCTTTCATAGTTCTATCCTTAGAGATCCTTTACGTCCTTTGTTAGGTATATTTCCAGTTATTTCATTTTCTTTGAAGCTACTGTGAAAAGAATTGTGTCTTTGATTTCATCTCAGCTTGATATTTATTGGCATATATGAAGGCTATTGATTTGTGGATATGGATTTTATATCCCAAGATGTCACTGTACTTCTTGATTACTTCCAGAAGTCTCATGGTTGAGTCCTTTGGATTTCTAGGTATAAGATTATATCGCCTACAAAGAACAATAATTTGACGTCCATTCCCATTTGGATACTGTTTACATCTTTCTCTTGCCTGATTGCATTGGCTGGGACTTCCCACAGGTGGCAGCAGAGGAGTTTCCTGCTCCAGACATCCACGTTGGACGGGCCCAGAACTGGTTGCTAGAGTCACACACAACCTGCAAGGCCACTGCAGAGGAGTCTACTGCTCCATGTGGGCCCAGAACTATTTACTAGAGCCACGTGGGTCCCGCGGGATATGGCAGAGGAGTTCCCCACCCTGGGCTCACACGTGGGGAGGGCCCAGATAGGCTTGCTAGTGCTGCATGAGTCCTCCACTCCCCATTCCCCTGCCCCACCGTGGGGCTTAACTAGGACTGATCCGGCCCTGCTGTTCCCCTGCCTCCCACCCCCATCCCCCAGTGGGGTGAACTAGGACTGATCTGGTCACCCTTCCCGCACAGCCGCTGCCATTCCCCTGCCCCCCGTTGCCCCAGAAAGGCTGATCAAGGACTGATCCAGGAGCTGCTGTTCCCCTTACCCTCAATTGCCCAGTGGGGCCAAACTAGGACTGATCCGGCCACTGCCTTTCCCCTGCCCTCCCCGCCCCCCATCAAGCTGGTGGGGCCGAACTAGGACTGATCCAGCTGTGCAAGCACCCAGCACCATCACTGCAGTTCCCCTGCCCCCTGGTCACCCTGGTGGAGCTGAATAGGACTGATCCGGTCACTGTCAGTCTCCTGCCCCCACCCCCCGTCATCCCAGCAGGCCAAACGAGGTCTGATCCAGCTCTGCATGCTCCTGCGCAGCTGCTGCCATTCTGCTGTGGTCACCCCAGCACCTAAGAACTGGGAGAAGATGACAGACATGCCATGTCTCTCTGGGTAACCAGAAGAAGCCACTGACTGAACAGTTCTGATAAGGTCTCCAAACAGGGTAAACTCAGCATGGGGCGGAATCTGCAGGAAAACTCTGGCAACTTGAATAGCCAGAGTAGAACAACTTCCCCAAGGAAAAATGGGGCAGATGTAATTGAAGACCCCATCCATAAACAGATGCCTGAGATGTCAGAAATCGAGTTCACAATTTGGATAGCAAATACAATTAACAGAATGTAAGAAATGAGGTAATTAGAATTTCAAGAAATTATTCAAAAGATATCTCAACAAATTATTCAAAAGATATCTCAAGAATTCAACAATTTCAAAGATAAAATGACCAAAGATTTTGAAACACTGAGACAAGAGGTTGCAGCCCTCAAGGATCTGGAAGATATGGTGGAAATCCTCCATAACAGAGTGGAACAGACAGAAGAAAGGATCTCTGACATAGAAGACAAAGCTTTTGAACAAGCCCAGGAGTGCAAAGATCAAAAGAAATGGAGAGCAAAAATGGATCTTTCTCTCAGAGAGCTCTTGGATAATTCAAAGAAAACTAATATTCGCCTTATAGGAATCCCTGAAGGTGATGAAGTTGCTTCACAAAACACAGAGGCTCTTCGTCATCAAATTATGAAAGAGAACTTTCCAGACATGCCAAGAGATTCTGAAATTCAGATAGCAGATAGTTTCAGAACCCCAGCATGACTCAACCCGAACAAGACATCCCCCAGACACATCATAATTAACTTCACTAAAGTTAAGCTGAAAGAGAAAATT